TAAATTATTTATTTTAAATTACACTGTTCTGCTTTGATTATAAAAACTAATAACTCATAAAATATTGCTAATTGGTAGTAAAACAGATACATAATTACTCCATAAATGAAATATGACATATATAAATTTGTATCAGTTGTCAGTTCATTAAAAGATATTTAAATTACTACCTATGTACCTTAAAAATAAAATAATTTTAGACTACAACAGGTGTTGAGTTATTGTGTATTTAAGTAACAAGTCGTAAACTTTTTTTTAATTGTTTACATAAACTATCCATATTAATATAGATATGTTTATGTTATTAAAGGGTTAAGGTCGTTAAAGTACTTTGAATTATTGATAACAACAATTAGAWTTTTGAAAATCAAGGTCAAATTCTAAATTCTGAAAAAATCTTTTTTTTTATTCTATTGACAAAATCTACAATCTATACATATTCTTTGTATAATGAGTAGGGTTTAACAAGAGACAGAAAACAAATTTAAATAACATGAATCGAATGATTATGGGGAATACCAAGTGGTAACACCCTATAGACAGAAACTCGGACAGCAACAATGATAAATTATATATCTTAAAAATATTTATCTTGCATTTGAATTTTGAATTACAAAATAGAATCATACGTAGAAAACTATATCAAATAAAAATAAATCGTTGTTTAAGTAATTATTTCTAATTAAGATATCATAATGAAATAATGAACAATTATAGATAACTTATAAAACGAAATATAAGACGCATTTGAAAATTATTGTTATTATATTATTTATAGAAAGTGATAAAATTATAAACCAGATGAATTTCRTTGTTACAAATTCAAATAACTTCTTAGTTCACTATAGTCTATAGGGTATATTAATTTATTATTTTTAATCATCGTTATTCCAGAGCTTCAAATTTTATACCTTTTTAGTTTCAACATCACATATTCCCATCGAAATCTCATTATAACTCCAACTAATTCAAACCTAACCTACCTAACCTTAGATGTATACTGTATATACTTATTAAAATAATAGTATTTTGGCTGTTTTTTTTAACTAACACTGAAAMTAAAATTTCAATTTGAAATATATTTTTTTTTATTATAATTTATCAGTATGTAGAAAAAATAATATTGAATAAATACCCTGTAGGTACAAATTATCAATTGTTAGATATTGACATTTAGTCATTCAGCAATCGACAAATATTAATCATATTAAATTTATTATTTTAATATTTTTTATGAACTTTGTTTTGATGGAAAAGCCGAAAGCCGAAAACCTACAAATTATTATTTATTTTCTTAGGCATTTAAAAAAAAAAAATAGAAATTCGTATAGTCAATATTTTTGAAGGATTTCTCAAATATTTAAATATTTGACTTAAGTTTTAAATTAAAAATTTTTGTGTTTTACAAAATACAAAACAAATAAAAAAATATATTCATTCCATTTTTGATATTTTATTCCCTGTCTAAAATAACGTTTCATAATCATGTTATGTTCCCGACTACTATATTGTCAGTCGCTAAGAACTTCAGACGTAGCCAAATAATGTAAACCTTTAGTAATTTTTAATTTTTTCTGATCATTTATATCAAATCTATTTAATTTTTCAAGTTTTTATTTAATCAACTTCTTACCTTATAATTATGATAATTTAATAATTTAATAATATATTATTATTTATTAATATCATATTGGTTATATTTTTATGTTTTATGATAATTTGAGTAGGATATATTATCTTATACCTTAATTACTTGGCTTATTTGCTAGGCCACAACATAGAACATACCTAATACCTATATTATCAAACATGCAAAATAAAAATATACTATTTTTCCTGCTTAAACTACTAGTAAATAGTATATTTATAAATAATGACGTATTGTTATTTGTTAATTGTTATGGTGTATGGTGTACTAAAGAATAAAATGATTATGTGTGGGTATTTTTATAACATGTACCTATTTATTTATATTTATTAATTAGGTTAAACCCATAATTATGTTTATTTTTTTGATGAATGCGTGAAAGAAGATAATAAGGTCACTTATATTTATGTTTTTAACAATTTATTAGAAAATACATATTTTTTGTACCTACTCTATATTCCTGTATAAAAATTTTATTCTCTACCTGCAATATATGATCTAAAAGGTATATATTACAATAATTAAAAAATATGTAATGATTTTAATTAATAGATAAATGTTTATATTTGATTATTTTTACCTTCAAGTGGAATAAAAATCTATATAGTATATATTTACAATATATACCTACTTACATATTTTTTTGTACTTAGATAATTTGTAAATTCAAGAAGTGAATATGTGTAGTTAGCCTGACTTAATTTCTTAATTATTGTTCTAGTGCTTTGGTAGACAAATATGTAATAGGTTTTGTTTTTTATTTTTAGCAACAAATTATTGGCTTGGATCCCAGCATCGTAATCTTGGCTATGTTTCTATTTCATGACMCTCGATGGTCGACACTACTTGTTAACTGTTTTTAACATTACTATTGATGATATAAAAATGTCCAACCGTAAAATCGTGATTTTAGAATAAAATAATATGCTCGATAATACAATAATATTGCTTATTGTGTTATGTTTGTTCATTTTATTGGTTATTTTCTATAATACTCAATCATAATAACTCTACTATACTCTATAATAACATTAATACCTTAGTTCAAAACAAGAATATTTTATACATACGTATAATTTATTTATTTTTTACTTCTCAATCATTAGATTTTAAATGAATGCGTCCGATTATGCAATTACTATAGACGACCAATCAATGGCTCAAAAAAAAAAACGCGAATTATCTATTATCTTATTTTAGCTCGTATTTTAGTAATTTAGCCTGAAAATAAAACTGCAAAACTAATTTTATTTATACAATATACATTATATAGTTATTTCATGGTCACCAACTACCCAGTTGTATTTAATCAAAAAATTATCAAAATTTGTTATATTTTTAAAACCGATTACGAAATTTTTAAATCAGTATAACAATTTACAGGATTAGAAACAAATGCGATTTTTTTTTTTTTAATTTGCCCTTTTTTAAATATGTTGCATTGGTCGTTACTTGTTGTAATTTAAACTGATCTTCATGGTCTTCCCACACACACACAGCCAGCCACACAGGTCTTACCTAGTCGTTACCTCGATGTGCGAAAAATCATTCCCATGTTAACAGATAGTGAGAATAAATTATAATATTTAATATGTGGTCGACATTCATTTTTTCATAATAATTACCACACTCAAACTGTCAAATATAATTATATTTTATTTATACTGAATTCCATAATATTTAGTAACTTTTGTTGCTTAAAAAAAAAAAATATAAACTAGTCCAAATGTTTTTACTATTAATAAATTACATTTGAGTAAAACATAAATAAATAATTAAATATTACATTTTGATATTATTGCTTAGTAGCACAGGGGTATGAAACTTAAGTTTTTTTTTTTTTATTTAAAAAAAGAATATTTACAATCTATGCTACAAGGTATAATAAGCAAATTTGAACACACATAAAAATTTTTACAACCTGAACACACGAGGAGGGAGGCCATCCAGTGATAGAACCCAACGTTATTTTATTTATTTATTAATTATTAACTTAACAAAAATTAATTAAAATTAAATGGTTTGAACCATCAGTTATTTAATAAATCATGACACCATTTTCTCTTTATACAGCGTGGGAGATTACTAGGAAGTGAGTTAGAATTAAGTTCAACGATTAAAGGGTTCAAGTGAGATTGTAATTTAGAATAAAACTTTTTGTAATGTTTTGTGGCTAATTGTTTTACTGTTTTTATTTTGAAATTTGGAATTTGATACGTACCAAGGTGCAGAAGAGATAATGCGGAGAGTGTTAGATTGGAAGGCTTGGAAGAAATACGTATTTGAGATGGTTTAGCGCATCTCCAGATTTGAATTACATAAGCCCAGATAGGCCTAATAAGGTTTTGTAGATGATTATTTTTGTGTGGGAGGGTTATTTTGATTTCGGAATTGGGCGAAGTAAGTGGAGTCGACTGTTGAACATTTTTCTTTTTGACTTGATATGAGAACCCCAGATCCCTTAAGACGCCGAGGTATTTTACTTCTGAGGATACTGGGATTGGTATTCCTTGAAAATAGAAAAGAAGGGGTATGGATTTTTTAGTGTAAATGGGACGTAAATTGATTTGTTAGGATTAATCTTGATTTTCCAGTTAGATGATCATTTGTCTATTAAATCTTAATGTGTTTGTAAAAATGTACAGTTTCTAAAGGCTTAAATTTAAAAAAAAAATTTTTTTTTTAGGAAGAATTTCCATTTGATGATGACATGCTAAGAGGTCATTTGAGTGTCCGTTCACATTTGGAAGATTTAGCCAAAAGACATCCAGATCTCGCAGGTCATTTGCGTTGTCCACCTTGGGGGGGTGAACCTAGCTCGAAAAGTTGGAGTCGTAAACGTACCGTGTCTGGAGAAGATAACGCACCTGAGGGACCATCAGATCTCAATTATAATAACAACGAGCATTCTGAATCTAGTCCTGATAAAAAACGATTTGAAGAAAATATGGATAATCAACGTCAGCATCCGTTTGAAAATAATTCAAGATCTCAGGAAAATGATGATAAACCTCAAAGATTTGTATCTAAGCTTGAATTTACTCCTGTAAATCCTATTAATAATCAGTCTGAAGATATTCAACCACAAACACAACCTCAAACTGATGCATCTACACCATCCCACGGAAATCAAAAACAACCTAACGTGCGACACATTCCGATCTATGTGGAAGGTCGTTCTGAACCAGTGTATCCAAAGGATGTTGATCAAAAAATTAATGAAAATAACAGCTCAACTTTGCCAAAACGATCTGCTGGTAAACAAACTCCATTTGCACATCATTCCTTTCACGACCAAAATACTGCGCAACGCCGACAAACTCCTCCTTCCCAACATCAGCAGACTCCTCCACGTGAAACCATATCTACACCTCCACCCACTCCGCGTCAACAAGTAAATCCAGTAGATGCTTTGGAAAAAGTGCAAATCGTTCAAGCCGATGTAGAAGAATTGGCAATAGCTGTTAATCAGTTTTCTGGTTCCTCCCGTACAGATAAACAATATATTTATTTGGATGAGATGCTTACAAGAAATTTGATTAAGTTAGATACTATTGAAACTGAAGGTAATATATAAAACGATTTAGTGAGAATATTAATTTTAGTTATAACTTACTAATCATTATATTATAGCAGTGGTCTCAAACACTCACCAGCTAAACCCTTTTGATGTAGCCCTCAATTGTTGTTAAAACAATTTCATTATTATAGAACTGTGGTATTAATTAATATGAATACATTTTGTTTTTAGGTATTTATTGTGTTTTATTTTAATTATAATTTATAGAGATAACTAAAAACAAAAGAAAAATAATGCTCAAATGTTTTTACCTGTGAACTTTTAATGCAGTGGTCGGCAAGTAATTTTTAATGGAGTCCGGATGATTAAAATATTAAATAAATGAAGTGCAACAAAAATAATTTTTCTAAAATCTTTATATTTACATAATAGTTATATACAGACAATAACATTTTAAAACATGTTGACGCAGTCCAGTTTTCTGCCTTCCACGATCTGGATTCGGACCACAATCTACTAGTTGCTGACCATTGCTTAAATGTATAAATGTATATGGCCTGTTGATAATTTGAGTTTAAGACCATTGCATTATTGATTAAATATTATATTGTATAGAGCAGTGTTTCTCAACCATTTTACTGTGGCGACCCCTTTTTTAAATTTAAATATTTTAGCGACCCCTACATATATATTTTTACATACTCGCTTAGATTATCATTATAAATAATCTAGACTCTAGAGTCTATAGTTACTACAAGTACTGTACACGAGAAATATAAAAGATACATATTATAATATTATATTTATTTAAAATTAAAAAAACCGTACATTCAATATTTCATTTTATTATATAAATATATTTTTATATTAAGATTTTTAATGGCTTGGTTGTTGCTGTTGATGTGATATTATTTCGTCAATTCTTGGTTTAATTGACTTCGTCAAGCTAATTCTCATAGCCGATGAAATATTCTATATTCAACGTTTATTATAGATTCTTTAATAGACGTCATAGAGTAATATCGCTTTAAAAATGATAATAGTGTGTTTTCCATTTTAATATAAATAATCTATACTCGTAATAGGTACGTAATATAATAATATTTTATTGATTTTATTTTTTTATTATTTGAGCTTTTAATTTTCGCATTGATTTAAATCATTCGATTGCGACCCTAAATAATAAGTTGGCGACCCCCAGGTTGAGAAACACTGGTATAGAGGACCATGTCTTAATTAGTAATGCTATTTTATCGATTTAATATTCGTTTATGAATAATTATAATTAATCTACTACCATATATATTATGCTTTATAGTTATCATTTATTTGCTTATTATATTAATTAATCTGGTGATTATGTTAATTTTATAAAGTTCTTGTTGGGGTTACCCTGTCCATCACTCAATTAACTGTGGATAGGATTTTGTTTAAAAATAATATTTATTGACTCCGAGTATAATAAAATATAATTCTTATTATTGATAATTATCTTTATTTGGCCATATTTTAATAATTTTATCATTAATTCTACTCATAGTGTGTATTTAACCCAGATTTTTAGTTCATACTCTCTACATCTATCTATGAACATTCTTGTCTTAAAATATTCTTTATTATATTTTCTATATACCATCCATAAAATGTAATAATAAAGATTTGTATATTAATATTGATTTTAAAAAATAATTTACCCTAGCTGTACAATTCAACTTCATATGAACAGACTGTCAGCTGAAACCCATAAATTTGTCTAGGATAAACCCAAACAATTTTCTTAAGTAACTGAGAAACAACCAAGGACTAATATATTCCATTTATAACCAATATTTGATTCTCGTTTGAAATGGTTGAATTAGTTCAGAATGTTCAGAGTGTAACTTAATGAATGTGAAAAAATTGTGACACTTAATTTTATGTATCTAGATACTAACACAATTTATTTATTATTTTTAATTAGCCCAAAATCAAACTTAATAATACATATACATTGAAGTATATTATTATAGATAGGTAACAATTAATCAAATTTAATGAAATTATAAATGATAATAATATTAATTAACTTTTGAAAAATGAATTATACCATCTATCCTCACAAATTCTTTAAAGTTTTTATGGGGTTTAGTGTCTTAAATTTAAATATATCTGATACCTAATAAAAAATGTTAATCACTTATATTTAATATATTTTACAGGAAGAGACGATGTACGTATGGCTAGAAAAAAAGCGATTAAAACTATCCAGGATACAATTTCTGTTTTAGAAATTAAAGCTCCTCAACCCCAAGAAGAACCGACAGTTGAAGAATTATCTGGGAATTTAGCCGAAAATGAGAATAAAGACACTGAAAAAACAGAAAGCAATAATTAAAATTTAAATAAATACCAGTGCAGTTTGATACAAAATATGGTTTATTATTATAACTTATGTTTTTTGTGTTTTACAAAATATTCTACAACTATTGTTCCAATATTTCATTTACATTTAAGATCGTCTATTGTCTGTTAATATTTTTTAAACTTTTGTAGTTATACCATTCTATCATAATATTAATTCAGTGTGAAACGACTGGTTACATTGAAAATTAATGTGCTTATATTATATTTGAATTGTCTTAAAGATATTTAGTTGAATAAATCATATTTTTTTTAAATTACATTTTAAACAAGTTTTTATTTGTTTGTCTTAAAAACATATAATAATAATAATAATAGTATATTAACTATGAAAGATTGTAAAATAATATTTTGTCTTATATATATTTGTTAAGATAGATATGTGATTTATATATATATTAATATAATATATATATAAAATATGTGTGAGTGTGAAATGTCATACTGTGTCAAATGATTTATTTTAAACCATGGAACATTTTTTTACTAACCAACATGATGTGATATAACGTAATCAAACACAGACTTGATTAGTTATCAATCATTTGTTAAGGATTTAAGCATTGTTAAAACCTTTAATGTTTATTTTATGGATTACAAATTTTGGTAAAGCTAAATCTTAAAACATCTCCGTTTTCTATTTTATATAAATAATATATTATATTATTACTATTCTATGAGTCATGTAAAAAATAATTTAATAACAATTTTTATGTTAATATTCAAATTGATTATCTTAATTTAATTGTCAAATAAATTCAAAAATTTAACTACATTTTTTTACAACTCAATCAAACTGTTTATGGTATAAAGGTATATCTTAAAAATTAATTTTATTTCTTTATTCTCACAAGTCACATTGATGTTTTGAGTTTAAATATATATTTATCAAATAAAATATTATTCGTGTAYTACAGTTATACAGAATTACAGTTTGATAAAATTGTTAAATTCATAAAATTTGTGAAACATTTATCATTTTTTTCACTCATAACTCTGGCATTTTCACGCATTTTATTTTTAATTTGATTAAATTATTAATTTAGCCATAGGACATAAGGCTTATTATATTTATTATTCAAATAGTTATTGAATAAATTATATATTTATATGATACACTGTTAGTATTTCACGCTGATTGGTTTTACCTAGGTTTTAACATAATGAAGTACAAAGATTTCTGATATACTTGAAATATACTAAATTGTTTATTAATTATTGATAAATTATAATGTGATCACCTTGTATTAAATGTTGTATAATAATATTTTATGTTGAATGTTCCATCACATTTATGCATCTATATCATAAGCCTACACATCTTAAAGACGTAATTATTATTTAAACAAAATATAATCAATGCAAATAGTTACACATTGTTAAATTTTCATCTGCGGAAAAATTATATAAGATATTATTATTTTTGTTAATGTAGTCATAAAATAAATTAGCTAACGTAAAATATTAGTATTACCTACTATAATCAATATAACTAATTATTATTATTATTAATAGTCATGTATTACTTTCAAATTAATTGTGAAATTAACAATAACTATTAAACAAATGTACCTATCATCAAAAGTTTTCATAATATTTAATAAGTAATTTTAACTTCTACAAGCGTACAACAGACAATTAAATATAATTTTTATATTTATTACCTTTATAGTTTTACCACTCTCAAAATGAAGTTCTACCTGTAGCAGGAGGCAGGACAAATTATTTTCTTTCTATGAACAGAAGAGTGTAAGTAGGTTGTAGGCTGTACAGCGACTATAACCTATATAGCATGTAGGCAAGGCTGTAACTGGAAAATATTCTCTCTGCAAAGTGCAAACTGAGATGGACTTGATAAAACTGTTCATTTTGTCCAGTGAATTGTTTTGATTTGTATCATCTAGGCCAAGTAGGCCATAACATTTTACCACAGAATAGAATAATTATACTATACAATTTTACTCCTTAATCAAATTTATGTTGAGAGACTTGTTAAGTAAATCGAACCAGTCGTTGAATAACATAACAATTTCTGAAGCCTGTTTGATAACAACCATTTTTTTGTCAAGCATTTTATTAAATGTAATTTCAAAATAATAAAAATTTATTAATTAGTTTTGTACTTGTCAACTAATTAATGATTTCTTGATAGTTTTATAAGATGTGAGACGTCATCAAAAACATAGATGTATCATGTATGTATGGAGTATGATGAATGTATGCATAGATTTTATGCTTGAAGGGCGTATTCTCTATAGATATGTTTAAAGCTTTCCATAATCCAATGTTTGACAAACCCATATCTCTAACCATTGCATTATTGCAATGACATTAAACAGTGGCGCCGATCCCTATGTCCAGAGGTATTGCAGTAGCAATATCTATTATGGCGGGTGGGTGGGTGCAAGGTGGATATATATCCACCTTGGCCCTTGGGTGGGTGTAATAAGCCTACGAAACACACTGGCTAAAATTATTTTAATTTATGAAAGTTATAAATTATTTTATTTATCATCATAGCTAACATTATGATTCATAATGTTATTCATAATTTATGAATTAGGATWAACCATAAACCTAAACGCTAACAATTGAGTAATTTCCGGGGAGGGGGGAGCTTCGGCCCACTATGCTACCGGCTTATATACTTTACTATCCCCCTTAACACGGCCCTGCTGGCAATCTTTAAATGTACTTGTAACTCTTAGTTATTAAAATTATAGATATATAATAGATGGGTGGAAAAAAAATGAGGGGCAGTCGCTCAACCTAATGTATAAGGTGGGTGGGTCTTGCTTTGCAGGTATGCTTAGCAATACCTCTAAAAACTGACTTCGGCGGCACTGACATTAAACCCAACATTATACGTATAGTTTCTCAATAATTTAATGTAACAAATCTTGTAATATAATTTTCCATCTCGTCGTGATATTAATATTACAAAATTGTATTTTTGGCGGGTAATTTAACGGCCGTCGGCCAATGAAATGAGGCGAACTATGACTATGGCTGAGAAGGGTGGGATGCGCTAACCGGACCAAAACTCGGATCCGTACTGACATAGGTACATAGTATCTATTTTGTTTTTGTCATGGCCGTGTCAGTGCGTCACCACTGTCACTTCTCACTTGTATTTGTGTGACACTGTGGACCATGTCCGTGTTGTTTTCTTAGAACGTGTTGTTGCCGCTCTGTTATTATTTAATATCTATTTTATCATTTATGATTACAATAAAATTACGTCTTCCGATTGTTTTTGTTAAATATAAGTATTAACTCTTGTATTTAGTAATTAGTATTTACCATCTACTCGTTCTATATTTTAACACACAATACACGAAGGAATACGAATTATTTGGATTTTAGATTAACCAGCACATCGTGTAAGTATTGGTCACCGTTTTTTTCCGTCGCATCTCGTCGTCATACTGGCTACCAGCTAGCCGTTCATGCACATAATGCAAACCTACATATTTGGAAATACCAAATACGTTAACAGTAATACATARCATACTAATAATAAATATTATTTTCCTCAATAATTATTTGATTTACACGCGTCTGGATATTAAATATCAATGTATTTTGTTTTTTCAGTTATATAGCAAATCGTATTTTTGTTCAATCGTTTCAATTGTTACTTGCTTATCATTATCGCTAATGGGTCGGTACATATTGATGTTTCTCAAACAAAACTTATTTATTCTTGAGTTAAGGCGTGGGTTCGTGTTTACACAATTTGGCAGTAGCAGTATTTATTATTTAACTGTTATTCGATAAAACATGATTTTAACTTATTRTGGTGGTTACCTGTTAGGAGAAAAAATAATTTTTCGTGTAGCAATTACGTATTTTAATTTTTAAGTAGATGATCACCATTTAAATATCGCTTTACAGTGATATTGAATTTAATTGAATGTTGTTTATTATCATAAAAATTTTCTATTAATTTATTTTTAAGTGGTGTAATTTTGTTTCATCATTACTGTAATGATGTTCATGAAAAAATAATYTTAAACAAATATTTTTATTTTATAGTTGTCATACATACAATTATATGTTTTACAATCTTACTTAGTTTTAATTTTTATATGATATGTACCGATACATACAATCCGTWCCTTTAGCAAAAATAATAGTATATTATGTGATAAATGATGGTGTTTTACATGATTAAATTGATGATAAGTCACCCGAGGGTAACACTACCCTTACTTGTTTTTATTTTTCTAATGTATATTATTCTTTAAATTAATCATTGAGAAAATCYTTTGCACAAATTTCTTTTGAGTCTTCCAGGGGATTTTCAGGAATTGTGATACTTGCAAGTTTTGAAATGAGGGGATTGATTTGCTAAGAATGTTTGAAGTGAAATTGTGTGTATAAAGTTTATGCTTTTTTATGGACTGTTTTGATTTTTAAATTGGTGTGTAATGTTAAGTCTTATGTGAGATATTATTTTGGAAAGTTTAGATTTTTTGTTATTGCCCCAGAGCTGTAGACCAAAGTCTACATTGTTTTAAACATAGATTTCTAAATTAAGAGTTTAGTATTTAATAGAGTGTGTTTGTTGTTAGATATATTTGAGTTGTCAATCTTTAGACCTAAATACTTAACCTATTGTAAGATAGATATTTGAATATTGTCTAGAGACACCATAGGATAAGGAGGAAGACAAAGAGTGAATGTTATATAAAGTTTGATGCCCTATTTTTTATACCAAGTCATTATGTTTAGTTAAAATAATAAGGAGTTACAAAAATGTCTTATTTTTCGCTTTTAACATAATATACCTAACTGTAAAACATGTTCAGGATATATTTTTATCATAAAAGCAATAATTTGTTTCAATAATCCATGACCCAAATTATCATCTAAAACCTGAATAATTGTTCATCAAAACTAAGTCTACTCTCAATTATTATGAAAAAATGTTTTGTTCAAGTCTGAACTGTCGCCATTAAAACAGTCCTTGTTTTAGAATATGCTAGTAGATTTTTATCCACATTATATTAGGTATCTATGTCATTCATACATATTTTATGTAAATCAATAATTTGTTATTACTCAATGTGCATAGAAAAAGCATAGTACAGCATAGGTGCAAATCACTCAAAAATATTAGAGGGATTTAACTACTCAAGAAATTCCAGAGGAAGCAAAGGCTTTACTTAAATATTGATCCTCCTCCCTATAACCATTATCTCTGTATATAAGATAAATTAAAGATTTAAATCAATATTCTATAGGACTATRAATTTATAGGAAAATTCATTATTTTTAGATTTTTGTAAAACATAACTTTCTTAACCCAAAGTTTGATTTAAGTATAAATAAACTCAACTTAGTATCTTTTGTTTAAAAAAAAWATATGTATCAGAGAATTTTGTAAGATAAAAGAAAACATTTTGTCCTCAATTATACTTTGTTATTTATAAGTTCATTATAATATGAAAGTTTCACTATAATTAGAAATATTTAATTACAGTGGACATTTATTACGGACTACATACCCATATCTCTTTTCTTGTGGATAATTCTCATGTCCAATAGACTATCTTGAGTCTTGACCCATGATAGATTCATGATTTTTAGTTATAATTTAAGATAATCACGAGATTCAGGGTGCTAGCATTAAAATTCAGAGTGCTAAACACCTTAAGTACTCCTGTGATTTGCGCTAATGTAGTACAGATTAATATTAATTCAATTATATTTAATACATTTTTCAATTATGGGATAATGAATTAAKGTAATTTTGATTCACACTATGTATAAATATAAATACYATTCAGTGTATAACAAGGTTATAATTAAATTTTCATTAAAAAAATAATAAATAAATGTTTTATCATTATTATACTTAAAATGATTGTACATAATTTGTATTGATGAAACTTGATATTTTATTTTTAGGTTTAGTATTCATAATGGGAGTTGACGCTGAATTAGTAAAAACACATGTTCGCCCTAGGTGTTTTATGGATGTAGCTGTTGATAATATTATTTTGGGACGTATTGTGTTTGAACTGTTTGATGACTTTTGCCCACTGACTTGTGAAAATTTCCGAGCGTTGTGTACAGGTGAAAAAGGTTTGGGTAAAACTACTGGTAAACCTTTGCATTTTCAAGGGGTAATTTTTCATCGCGTCGTAAAATCATTCATGGTACAATGTGGAGATTTTTCAACCGGGAATGGTACAGGTGGTGAATCTATATTTGGAGGAACTTTTCCAGGTGTGTGTTTGAAGTAATATAAATGTGTTAAGAATAGTATTAATAACATGTTTTATTTCTGTTTCTAGATGAAAACTTTGATTTGAAACATGATCAACCTTTTTTACTTTCAATGGCTAATCGAGGACCAGATACAAATGGTTCACAATTTTTTATGTAAGTCTTAAGAAATATATTTTAACTGTTGTGACATATTTGTCATATGATTACAAATTACAATTGCTTATGAATAAATAATTATTAGAATATCTATTTCAGAAAATGAAAATGATAATTATAATTATTGTTAAAATGTTTTTAATCTTCTATACCTATGGTATTTTAGAATTGGATGTATGTCACACAAATCTAAACATTGAAAACAGTTAATTTTTATCATAAATAATAATTTTATAAGTTATTATTGTTATTAATAAGACATAATTATTTTTATATTTGGTAAACATTTAATTGTTGATAATTACATTTTTTTTATATTTTTTAATCAGTGAAATAAAGAACTATCATTTTGTACATTTCATCCATTAAAATTTTTTTTTTCTTATTTTAAAGCTATTTTTCTTGTTTCCAATTTTTAAAACAGATGTTCAACTTTTAAAATCTATACTCTATAATTTTCAAGTATAAATTCAAATTTTCAACTAACTGAAATAATTTTGATGTGGAAACTAATACTGCCTATAAATTGGGCAAACATCTTTAAATTTATATAAAAAWWTTTATATATATGTATACAGGGTGATTCACCAAGCATGTTCAACCTTTTTTTTCTTTAATAATAAAGTTATTCAAAATCTGATTTTTGGAATCTTTAATATACTCAAAGATCAAATTTTCAAATTCTTGATATTATTTATACCATTTAAAGAGTGTYTGTGGAAATACTAACTTAAGTTTTCAAATGAAAACCCCAATTTTTAATGTAAATTATTTAGCTGATAATTGTTTTCATAATTTTGATATGTTGAAATTAAAATTTGAACAAGTAGTTTACTAGTTATTAAAATGTTCATACTATGAATAATAATCTCTAAAATCATTTTAAATAAGTATAAAATACTCGTACCATTGGAACTAGTATTTATGATACTTAGGTCATTTTTAAAAATTATGTATGTTATTAGATTAGTATTAATGACTAATATTTTCAAATCCGCCATAGTTTTATCCTTAGAACACAAATCACTCAAAAACTGCTCATTAGAATTTTGATTTCAATACATCAAAATTCTCAATAAAATGATCCATTAAATTAAACTTTTTTGAAATTCAAATTTGAAAAACAAAAGTTTGTTTCATCATAAGACACTCCTTAAGTGGTACTAAATATCTTAAGAATTTGAAAATGTGATGTTTGAGTATACTTAAAGATTCCAAAAGTCAGATTTTGAATAATTGTATTATTAAAGAAAAAAAAGTAGGATGCTTGTTGAATCATCTTGTATTTATAAAGAAAAAACCAAACCGTTTGTTTCATATATAGTTTTAATTTTCCTTCAGCAAAAACTTAAAATTAAAAAATTAAGTGTCTGTGATATCAATTTGAAAATTTGTACTATTCACTTCATAGATCGTCCACTCTAGGAAAAATAATAAATGTTTACTAATGTAATTTTGATTTTGTAATTTGAAAATGTGTTGATGGGATCAGTATGTCAGAATAGCCTAATAAAATTTTGGTCGTATGTCATGTATTTGTTGTAGAACAACACAACCAACTCCTCACTTAGATGGGTAAGTGAAACTCTGTTATTAAATTTGAAATATTATGTTTGAAATATTAATAAATTATTTAAAAAATAGTATACACGTGGTATTTGGAAGAGTGGTTTCTGGCCAGCCGGTTGTTATGCAGATTGAAGAACTTGGAGTAGACAAAAATTCACGCCCACTTCAAGATGCAAAGGTGGTGAAATGTGGAGAACTTATTTTGAAGTCTAAAATTAAACGTATGTTTATTAATTTTTTTATTAATTGCACATGACAAACAAAATATATTTTTAAATKTTCATATTACATGTCTTTGTATAATAGAATCTGAGAAAAGTGTATCTGATAGCGAAACAAGTTCAGGATCAGACGATGACAAAAAAAGAAAACGAAAGAAAAAAAAGAAGGAAAAAGAATCGAGAAAAAAAACAGAAAAGAAGTATGATTGTGTAGTTGTATTATATTCTAAATTTAACTTAATTTTTTCTAGATTGGACCGTTCAAAAGATGAAGATGATGATGCTGAAGCAGAAGGTCAGCTACATCCACTTGTATCTGTTTCTAATATTGACCCTGAAGAAATACCAGCTGGACCTCCTAATAGATTTTTGTCTCGAGGGGGTCCTTCATCTATGTTTCTTATGAAACCTCAGCTAGATAATGATGATAGATCAAAGAAAAGAAATAATATACGTGGTGTTACAAAATCTGGCCGGATTGTTAAAGGTCGTGGAACTCTCAGATTCCGAACTCCATCTCGTAGTAGGTCTAGAAGCTATACTCCACCCCATTGGAGACAAGAACAAAAAAAAATGATAACTTTCAATGAATTTGAAGTAGGTTAAAAACATAATATTTAAATATTATTTATCAAAATAATAAATATTTAATATAATTTTAGAAAATGGAAATTGAACGTAAAGAAAAAGAAGAAGAAATCAAAAGACGAGAAGAAGCCAGAAAAAAGAGACATGAAGAAAAAGAAAAACATGAGAAAGGTAAAAATGGACAAACACCTCCAGGATCCCCACCTAAGGTAAACGAAAATTGTTATTAAAAAATAAAAGATTTTATTTAATTTGATTATTTAATTCTAATTTTTCTACAGGTTTCTGAGGTACAAAATGATAAAGTTGAAATTGACATGATGGCTAATATTGAAGATGTATTTCAAATAATACGTGATCGTAATATGAAAAATGGTTCAGATAACCGTGATCATAAAAAATCAGATCAATATTTGAGTGATACAATGAAAAAAAGTAAAGGAGAAAATAGAGAAAAGTTTCAAAAAATGGAAAAGAAGTTTGATAGACGTTCTAGGAGCCGCTCACCAAAACGTCGCTTTGATAACAATTATCATCGAGATCGAGGGCAAAGAGATAGAAATAGATATCGTAAAGATGATAGGTATAACAATAGATCTAAACAAGGAGGGCAAAAAAATCGTTCTAGGGATAAAGAACATTTTAACAAGAAAAAGAAGAACCATCGCAGATCAAGCTCTAGTTCTTCGGAAGATCGTAAAAATAAAAAAAAAGTCAGGAATGAAAATAGTTTTAGTTTATCACCTGAAGTCAAAGATTAAATTCTCACAAATATTTTCGGTTATTTTGAAGAATCTAAAGTAGCTGAACTTTATTTCTAATTTTATTTTGTTTTTTATTATCAATTAAATACCATTTATTATTTTTAAGATAATTTGCTACTGAATGATTAAATTAGAACTACTGAATGTTATTGAATTTTGAATAATAAAAATACACAATGCAGTAGATACTCGTTATTATTACGAAGTGCATGATATTAGATTTACAACAAAAAATCATTCCGACTTCTTAAACATAAAAAAAAATTATTAAATAAGTCTAAAATCCATTAAATATGCACTCAATATTACCATAGTATAATCACTAAATACATAATGTGGTGTTGACTGTTCATAAATACACATGACACTAATTAATTTTGAAAATAACAGGAGTCCCTAAGTGGATGGCAGCGCATTGTTTGTTTTCTCTATATCGTCGACACACAATATAGACAAAACACATCCTTTTTAAAAATGTTTTTGAGTTATCTTAGGGTAAAATGGGTAATAGGTACATAACAAAAAAGAAGAAGAATACTTTTGGAGGTCTGACACATTGATAGTATATCTAAATATTGATATAAACATCATTTAAACTAACATTAACATTTTTTTAAATTTGAATACAAAGTATTAGAGCTTTGATTTTGATACAATTTTCATTTTTTCTAGAGGTAGCTGTATGATGCTCGCCTGGTTACAAATCCATAACATGTTCTTTTGAATGAGAATAAGAAAATTTATTTTGCATTTTTTGACAATTTTGGTTTTTGAGTAATAAAATTTATACTGACATCTCACAGTATTGTATATTACAAATTTGTTGTTGTTGTTTATTTACATTTAGTTTTAGTTTGTAATTGTTTTTTTCAGATTAAAAGAAATCCCGAAATTTAGTCAACGGAAAAATTATCTTAATTAATTTTATTTCAATTTAATTTATTTAACTAAATATTATTTAAAATTTATTAAAAATAGAAACAATTTACCTGGTTTTTTTTTTTGTGCATTATTAAAAATGTTTAGGGTTTTATAGGCCTATAGGGCATTACATTCTCAGCCCTATTAATTATAATAAAATCAAAAACCAATATGTCATACCTCAAAATTACCCGCCATAAATTTTGTAATATATAATTTTACTCAAAAATCATAAAACTGATTTTAGGTGAAAACATTTTTTATATTACATTGTCCACGTGGGTCTGAGAGAAAAATCAAATATTGTACTAACATCCACTTAAGATGCAGTTTTTAGAACGGAACTTTTTTATGATGTATGTAATTTTAAATCATTTTTGTAAAAGTTTTTATTTTATATTCTATTCATATCTTTGTGATTTTCATTGTAAAAACTTATTTTGCACTTATCAGTTCCTTGACTTATAATTAAAATCAACAAATAAATTAAACAATGTGTCACCAATATGAGTTATAATATATTATTTTATTATAAAAATTATAGTTAAAATTAATTAACCATCATAAATTGTAAGTTTTATGTAACAGAAAGAAATATATGCATTTATTAAGTATAATTTAATTATAATTTAAAATAGTGAAAAAAAACTTAAAATATTTGTTAGTAACCAGTATTTATTGTCGAGAAAATTGCTTCATTCATGCCATCACTGCTTTTAATTGTATCACAGTTATTAATTCCCGGGTTGACTGGTTGGTTGGGCTGATTTCCTGGTGAAAAATTTGAAAATGCGTTGTAACCTGGTTCACCATAGTTATTATCATTATTGTTAGAATTAGAAGAGACTTCTTGTACTCCTTTTCCTGAACTTGGAAAGTTAGAATTTTGAAATTGACCTTTCGGAACAAGCGTTGAATGTCTATTTTGGTTTCGAATTCCATAACTAGGATCTGCTGGCGATACTGTACTTGTCTTGCCTTGGCTGACATCTCCACCATTTTTTGAAGTACAAGGCCCTAACCGTTGTACGTAACCTGTAAGTGAACYTGAAATTTCCTGACCTGAACTCTGTGTGGTCAAACTATTTTGACTATAACCTCCAAATTGAGTTGTACCTATATTTTCTCTATTTAAGGAGTTAGGCTTAACGACGCTTTCATCGTAAGATTTTGAGTCTTGGGGTGCTTCTTGAGGGTGAGCTCCATTAGTTGGTGAATTTTGATTAACACTATTTCTAGTCATAGATGATGTCTGAGACCTTTGGGGGCTAAATTTATTCGGTAGTCCTCTTTGTGGTGTGCTTGATTCGTTTTGTCCAAAACCATTCAATTCATTTGACGAACTACCTTGATAGTATCCACCGCTTGAGGGCGGAACTGAACTACTTTGTCCATTTCCGTTAATAGTCGGCGGTTGGTATTCAGAACGGTTATAGTTATTTGATGCTTGTGGCGTGCTCGGGTGGCTTTGATCAAAAGCATTAGGGCCATCTGATGGTCTACCTTGATTATATCCATCGTTCGCTTGTTTATTCGATTGGCTTTGGGCGGGATTCCTTCCATTTGTGAACGATTGAGAGGGTCCTGGTGGTGGACCATAGCTATTGGACTGCTGATGATTTTGTTGATCTTGATTATATTCATTATACGCTGGAGAAATCTGATCATAGTTCTTTTCATTTCCAATTGAATGTGATCCCGACTGTCCAGAATTGTTAGACCCTTGTAATTGGTTTTGTRGGTGTAAATCAAACCCGTTTTGGTAATTCAAAGAACCCTGTCCCTGATTGAAACGTATCTCCAGTGGACTTTGACCATATGGATTCTGATATGGCACACCTGACGACTCTACTCCATTACTGGTTCCTATAGAATTAAGACTTTGAGAGACAATAATGGAAGTACCGCCAACTTGGTTTTTATTTATTCCTGCAGTAACTTTTTGATTGTATGCGTTAGTCGGGCTTAGTTCAAATCCATTATTAATTGGTGATGATTGACTGAAAGATTCTCCAGAATAAGGTAAATTTTTGGAATTAGATGAATATGAATCGGTGTTTGGTTTTTCAAAATCATTTTGTCCATAAGATTGAGTTGTTGCTGATATACCGTGATTTGGTTTACTGRGGTATTGTCCATATCCGGAAGACGATACTTCTTTGTTATAACCTCTAGCTTGGAAACCGCGATTATTGGGAAACTTATTTTGTCCATGATTTCCATTAATGATTTCGTTGTTGGTCTGCTGTGTATTTTTACTAATTCCATTATCTTCTGTGTGAAAGTTTTCAACTGAACTTGGAAATCCTACTAAACCAATTGAGGACGGATCGTTTGAGATATCTATGCTCTTTTCAACGCTAAATTGTGTGTTGGGCCTATTTCCATTTCCAACTTGATTATATTTACCACTTGTATATTTTTGGCCATACGAGTTGAGTGCTGTGTTAGCATAACCACTGTTATCTACAGAAAATGGTTGACCTCCGTTTAGACCAAAATTTCCGTTACTCCCTTGGCGGTACGCGTTCCGACCACCAATTCCATCGTTATCTTGCAACGGAGCTTTCGGTGTAATCAAATTTGTATTACCATAACCATCACTTGACGTGTTCTCAACTACTGTACTTTGCTGGCTATACTGATAGCCACCTGTGCTTGGGTTCTGGCCAAATTGACTTGCTAGCGCTGCTCCATTGTAATTGTATTTCGTTGGACCTTGATTTTGTGCAGTATTCAATAGTTCGTTTTGTCCGTAACCTTCGGCCGTTCCCGCTTGTGCRGCAATACCATTATTAGTTGGTATCAATGTTGTACCCAATGAACTACCATAGTTATTGTTAGTTCCTGGTAAATTGACAGCACTAATGTCATCGCTATTCTTGTTCAAAAGTTGTCCAAAATTGTTTCCTCTTGGTGATAAAGTATTGTAACTATTACTTTGGTCTAATGATGRCCCAACTGGTCCGTTTGACGTATACGTACTAGTATCATATGATCCTAGATTACTTTGGACMCCACTCGTGCCATCAGTGGTTTTTGGCGATAACTCATAGTTACTAAAATCTGTTGGACTTTTTGCAAATGTGTCCTGAACGTTTTCAACTTCCCCATAACCATTTTTATTRCCACCAAAATTATTTGACACGTCTATTTGTCCTCCAAAACCACCAGATGCAACAGAATCTATCTTTGGTGGCAAATACATACGGGATGGATCTATAAAGGCATAATGTTGAAAATTATTGCAAAACAGAATGATGCGCATTCCAAAATTAAAATACTACCATGCAGTTATTTATTTGAAATTCAAAATAAGCTTCATAATAAAGCTAGTTTAAAAGTTATTGTGGTTCGACATCATTATAGTTGGGACGTTTGGGAGTGGCATTATTATACAGCGAAAACTCTCTATAACGAATCTGAAGGGACCATGTGATTTCTTTCGTTAYTGAGAGTTTTCGTAATAGAGAGTAATTAATAGGTTTTAAATCAAACCAACCATTATAAGTTAACTTAATGTTATTTACGTAATATAGAGTTTTTCGTTGTAACGAGTTTCGTTATAAAGAGTTTTCACTGTACTATTATATTTCATTCCATCTGTAATTGAGATATTTTCCCCTCAAACGTTAAAACGTGTATAAAGTATGAATATATACACTAGGTAAGTTAAACTAAAATCTAAACATGCATGTGTTTATTTTTATTTAAACATTTTATAATTTATTTGACAATTGTAGATTTTAATATGGTCAATTTTCATGTACCTTTTATTATAATGATTTAATCGGAAATCGTAAATACACTTTTATTTCGTAGCAGGATTTTAAAATGGAATTATTGGAACGMATATATATTAATCTAGTTGGGTATATAGTGGCTATGGTACCTATAATCACGGATTAAGACAAAAAATATTGGAAGTGGGCAATTTTTTAACAGTCCCAAAAAAGTGCTCCCCTGCAGCAGTTGGCAAGCAGTTTGATGTAACAATTTTTGTTCATCTATAGAGCATACAGACATCTATAGAGCTACCTAGTTGTGTCAGAAACGTATACCTATAGAAATTAATTTCTTATATTATATAATTTAAAAAAAATGATACTATAAATATAAATTAAATTAATTGTATATACATTTTATATACATTAAACATTAATTGAATAAAACACATAGACAAAATATATAAATTAAATTAAAGGATAAAATATAATTTTCGAGGCTAACTTAAATTCTAATTAGTTATACAATCAACGCTCGTAACAACCATACATTTG